GTTAGCTTTTTTTCGTAGTCGCTAGATACTAAAGATGGCGTGAACTGCTACTTGTGAATCACTCGTGATTCGATCACGTTCGTTCCCAATGATATTTCACTGTGATTCGTGATTTCTCGCGATCGTTTCTGATTGGTGGAGAAACCTGACAGTTCTTTACACGCGACGCATAATCTGTATATTTTATATTAACGACATCAAAACAAACATTCGAGTTATATCGTATAAAGTGAAGGAATAATTAGAAACAATGAAGGTTCGGTCGTGAATGAAGTTAAATCACGACTGTGATCGTGATTCGGCGATCACTGTGATAAATCACCGTTGGTGATTTTGCACGCCATCTCTACTAGATACTGGATAGAGTACCTAGAATGTTAGACCCTCGGTCGCTGTACCCGTTGAAGTTCATCGAGTGAGTGTGATCGCTGGTTACGATAACCAGGGTATCGTCGGTGTTGACCATCTTGAGGGTCGCGTTGATAGCGTCCGAGAACCTGACTGTCTCCAACAGCGCCTGGGCTGCGTAACCTCGATGATGGGCAAAGTCGATGAGACCTCCCTCGACCTGCAAGCAACGCCAGATGCAGCATACACGAGGGTAAATTCTTTGATTTTATATAAAATCAATACCACTAGCAGGTAACCGCGTTTCGATTTCTGTAGGACTTTCAACGCCGTCACAGTCATATCCTCCAGGCTCGGTTGTCCTTTCGGACCCTTTTCCCTGTTCCAGTCCATACTGATATGACCGTTCGCGAAAATACCCAGTAGATAGTCGACTTTATCGGTGTTGATCTTGGACAATTGTTCGTTGTTCTGAACGACCCTGTACGATAATTTTCTGGAGGCTTTATCCTTCGTCCATTCCTTGATCAAATCTCTACCGTCTTGCCTTCTCCCGGCCCATGTGTCTATCGGATCGAACTCCGTAGCTGTTGCGTTCGACTTCATCATTTGTCTACCTCCTCCCATGATCACCTAAGAGGACACGCATCTTTAATTAGCTTCGGGGAGTTTATATTAATCGTAGTGACCCTGAAAAATCGATGACTGGTATATTTTGCCTTAATGTTCTTCCCTGGAAGGTCTTCCACCAGCTGTCTCGCGATGTCCTTGCAGCTTCCTGCAGTTTCAGGCATTTTCGATTCGCATTCCCATCTCCTGTCAGCGCTGTGAGCGTATAGAGGAGCAGGAGTCGCGTGAGTAACCCGTGTAGTCGTCACGAATCCTGGAAATTCCAATATGTGACGTCAGTGACGATGATATGTATCGAGGTCGGTATCCAACTATTCGCTGACCTGTGTCTTTACCGACGGCTTGCGCCCACGATATGATCGAGTCCACGTGGTTGTCGGTACTCAAGCTAGCGGTGCAATTACCCAACGGTACGTTTCCGTTCACACCGACCACCTCGTAATTCGTCTTAACGCCACCGAACATTGCAGTTGCTGTCGACGCAGAGTCCGGTACTTGTTTGTTGACGTTGTATGTCTGGTTGTAAGTATTGGTGGAATTAAACCGGTTCTACGGTAATAATTTGACACGTTCCGTGCCACGCGACATAAAGAGCAAAAGTAATGGAATTAATAGTTCAGTTAGTATATTTACTTAAAAGCTGTATCGATAAACTTTTCATGAGTATTTTATCAAGGGTAGTATTTTATCTAGAGTTTCAATTCCGTATTTCATATACATTCTGTATATTTTCAATGACCTGGAACATGTCAGTAAAAAAACCGTAGCAACTAGCTACCTTCAGTATTCCTATATGAGGGAATTTCTCCCAGGCCAAGTAACTGGTCTCACCAGCGCGGTAGATTCTGCTGGCGGTGATAGTATCGGGACTCATGCCATCACCCACAAACAAGATCACGTTCTTCGCTCTGTTCTTGTTCCATTTGTACGACAGCGCTTCCTGTAGCTCCTCCTTTGCTAACTCACGCCAATATCTAGTGTCTACGTAAACGAAGAGGTCTGGGTTAAGCGTCTGTAGATCCTATCTTTTCGTGCCAGACAGGGTAATCTTGTAAACAATGTGTTGGCACATAAGAGAACTTAATGAGTTGTTGATAACGATAAGTAAATAGTACACGTGGAGACGAACCGAGATAAAGAGTTCGTACGCTGGGTAGAATGTTTTGTGATAGAACAATGATCTATGACAGTGCTTGAAGTGGAGGACGATGAAACGTGAATGAATCAAAATGAAATATTAATGATATCAGCAGTGTCCCAGATGAAGGGATGTAGGTACTGCATTATCATCGGAGGACGCTCACGGTTTCGTTGGTGATTCGCAGGGGGCCGACGAGGATTACACGTGTCATGCATGGATTGATGAATTCTGGGTACAATATACCTTCTTTGATCGTGGCGCTAGCTATTCCAATCAGAAAGCAAACACAGTGCACCGCGATAAGCCTCATCTTTCACTTCGCTTGGATGTATCTTTCTTGGCGTTCCTCGAGTATCGTGTCACAAATGTACGTTAGTAGAATCTTTACGCTACACACAACTGATACGAGGGATTCCAGGACTCTGATAATGCTTGGGCAATTTAGGCTGATAACGCTCTCTATTGTTGAATAGTTCGTGTCGATAAGGTAGATATCTCCGGTAGATTGTATCGACCGAGTCGTCGGTCCCTGTGGAGCAACTGGGCGTAGCCTGTTCATCTGTTTTTCGATAAAAAAATAAAACTAAAAAATACAGTTACAATCATAAACAGGTAATGAAAACATTTTCGAGGCAGTTTAGAATGTTCATTGGCGATCGATATCTTTCGAACGGGCGGGTGACGCGAAGGGATCGAACGGGTTTTTTTTTTTAACTAACATTCACTGTAACGTTTTATTTGATTTTTTGTTCATATTCACTGTCTGTTCGTACAGATCGTAACACATCGCGTAATACAATTTTCGTAGAAGAATTGTCTCTCCTCCTCTCGTGTGCTCGACGTTTAAACAAAACTACGAAAAATAGACTCGATAAAATCAACTGTTCAAGTCCTTTCTTTCTTCGCTCCCCGTTGTATACGCCTTTGCAATTCGTCGAAATTGTTTCCCCCAAGTAGTAAAATCAGGAGGGACCTTACAAAAGGTTCCTCCTAGATTTTAACCACCATCTCGTTCAAGTCTCAACATGGCGGTCGTCGAAAGATCCACGAAGAAGCGTACTACCGTCGTCTACTGATCAACAATCCCGCGAATACAGTAAATACAGATAGTAAATTTTGATTTTTCTTTCACCACGGAACAGGCTTCTTGGATATCGTTCAATCGTTCGATGATCCTGTTCTACCCTTCTGCCGAATTTAATAACGACTCCCCGACTACCTTCTACCAACGAAAACGTCGAGTTTCTTCGATAAAAAAATATTAGGCGTCAGCATGGTTCCGAGTTTTGGCCAATCTGGAGGTACTATACGATGAATTTCCTACGCAACAAATGTAAGAGGATGCTCTGAACCGGCGCTACGAGGCTCCTCAAACGATATCACACGCAAACGCGAACTCATCATCACGGCAATCGTTACGCGAGTATTACGCTGGAACGCGACACGATCTGTCGTGCCTGTAGCCAACTGTTCTGATTGCACGAGGCCTCCGTATATTTCATCCAACGACTTCTTCTTCAAGAAAGAGGTAAACCTTGATTTTATCAGACAGGTCCAACTGGTCCAGCCTCCAGTAGCCGGAACAGTTGGCCACGACTCTAGCTCTGGGAAAAAACATCGCTATCATAGAACTCTCGCTGCGACAATTGGCCTAATATATAAACTCTCTACAAATCTCTCTTACACGATAAAGTACAATAAACTTGTCCTCTGCGCGTATCGACACGACACCTACGTCGTATCGACTGCATACGCCGTTCGATCGTTCTCCTGTTTCACCCATATTTTTATACTTTCGTCTCCTTCGAGTCGCGTATTATTGCCAACAGTATTTAGTGTCTTTGGTATTTTTCGTCTCTCCCTTGCCTACAGCCGGGCGCGATGAACCTCCTTTATCGAACTGGTCATTCTTCTGTATATATTTCTATTACAGAGTAACTATTACCGGTCTAGGGCTGCTGGTGCGACTTATGTCTGCACTGATAGTCGCTGTCCCTTAGCCATGTAGCCAGTTCCATGTCCAACCACAGACTGAACTGTCTTCGTTCGCTTAATGGAAAGGATCCTGATGAATTTAAGTAATGTTTCGAGTACTCTTAGCCCCATGGCTAAGTAGGAATGAATATCCTTCAGTAATCAGACGCGAGGAACGTAGGTACCGATATGTCGGTTATACATCAGCATCGTTTAAACCACGACGACGCCGCTGGCGAGCTAACAGAACAACGTCGTAATATTTTATACAGACACAAATAACATCCGGAAGCCTAGACTATAACCAGGTCGCAAGAAACTGGCCGTTAAAGTTTTCCTTCCCACCTGTAAAGCACTCTAGATACTAACGTC